CACCAGACCGAGGTTCTGATATAGACAAATCAAATAACATGGAAGATAGCAGCAAACAAAAAAACCCGTAGAAGATAAGATTCTTTTATCAGTAGGATGCAAATATTTCCAAACGGGACAGCATAGTCAAACACATGGTCTTTTTTCCTAAAACATACAGGGGTGAATGGCGATAAATACAAAACATCTTCGCCATTGACCCGTACACTAGAGTTTTCAGTACTAGAAAATCACAGATTTCCTGAATACTGTAAAATACTAAATACGATATCAACCTAACCATGTCGATACATAACAAGCTAAACCATGAACATAAAGGAAGATGGAATTGGAAAAGCATTAAACGAAATTAAACTGAAATGGTTATTTTCTTCCCTATCAGAGTTCTACACCCATGAGTCACAAGTAGGTTCCCTAGATACACCTGCAAGAGAATTGAGATAGAGAAATCAAATTGCCGTTTCAGGACAATGATGATAAAAAATCATAACCTGTGAAATTTTAATTTTACTTACACTAGTAGTTCCTAGTTAATTAAGTCAGACCAGAAGATATCACGACCGCTTGTACATATGGCGCCTTAGCATCTCATTTATCCCCACAGCTGATATGCTTTCACATCCAAGAAGATCGCGGAGCTTTTCATCACACTGAATAGCCATTGGATTTTCCGGGACCTGAAAACACATTGATAAGCAGATAAACAGTGCTTAGTTACCAATTGCCTTTTCATGTTAATACCCGTTCACAAATCTTGCTAAAGCATGCGGAAATGAAATGCAATTCTAGATATTATCTTATAGAGAAATTCCAAACAATAAGCTTGTAGTAGCACCAAACAGAAAACTTTTGGGAGGCAATAAAGAAGCAACTAGGGTGTTTAAGACCCACAATAATTTTTAGATAAAAGCCCCACCTCTAAATTGTTGAGTTTTATGTATTCCCAAACACGGCGAATAATCTCTTCGTCTGTCATCTCCGTCTCACCAGTGCCAAAGAACTTAGCAAGTGGCTCAGATAATGCAACAGCTGAATTGACAGGCTCTGTG